GCCAGGACCAGGTCCAACAGGGCACCTCCTCTGGTGGGACTGTGCACCTCCTGAATCAAATGCAGGTCCTGCATCTCAGCCAGAAACCTCCTGGAGCGGTCCGTCCCGGCTGACTGCTCCTCCCAGCAGATGTCTGGGTAATTGAAATCGCTAATTAAATTATTATTGTATGTTCTTGTTTTGTTATTTACGCATAGTTGTGTGTTTGTTAAGTCAATAAACCTTTCTTACCTTTCTATGCCCGACCACACTCTCAATCCTGAACCCTCCGCAGGTGGCTGGGGCAACTGTACTTAAGCGATTACCCTGTTAATCACACTGTAAATAATAACCCTGCCACTCGTTCAAGGAATGAATGTACTGATAAAATGGGAAACCAGCCCCAGAAATATTCCTCAAAATGAGTGTAATATTTTCGTGGTGGCTGGTTTCCATGGGGCACGGTAGTGACAAATCAGAACCAGTTCCATCCTCTGGTACAGTCCTGGGGCTGGGACTAACAGTCAGCTCATCGGTGGTCCCAACCCCAGCCAGTTTAAAACTCTGATTTTAAACTCTCCTGTGAAGCCCACTATTTTCTTCTCTGTGCTATGTCCATATCCTGCCACAGTATTCAGGAAACTGTATATACTCTCCTTCTTTTTCCTCATCTTACATCTGAATAAATGTAAGCTTATCCTGTATGTAAAAACAGCCTACTTAGTGTAAATCATGTTCAAGGCCTGTCAGTCTGATTGCTTCCTTTCAGACTTTGATCTGCATTCCCTTGCCTATGTTTTCTGTTTCTCTTATTATCTGTCTCCTTCTTTCCAACCTCACCTGCACTGCCAGTGATATCAGCCATGATACCTCATTTGTCTGCTTCTCCTACAAATGCTTCTGAATTAAGCCTGTGCCAAACGCTTATCCATGAAAATGTTTTACCTGAAAGGATTCATGAGGACACTGCCTAATCAAACCCTGTTCTTTAGATCCAGATGTGTTCTGTAATAATGAGTCATCAAAGATATGAATGTGTTTCATTAACACAGTGGTTCTGAACCTTTTTAGATTCAAGGGACCCCTGCATTGCTTTTCCGAATTTAGTACTACCCCATCTCAGAAACTAATTTAACTCATGTTTTTTTACTACGAAAAATAATAGAGTTCTTCTGTTGCAAAGAACTCAAAGACACCACAACAGGTAAGAATGTTTTTTGACACGGGATTTTTATTTGCAAGTTGTGGGCTTGTCCAGACAAGCACGGCCATGCAGTATGTGGTGCTGCAAACACGTCTGCAGCACCACGTGCCGCACAGTCAGGTGTTCTCCATGCTGCAAGGGCATGCTGCCTGTGCATGTGCTGCTCTGCGTTTTTTTTCCACTGTTTTTTTTTACCCCTGGGTATAGGGATCAAAAAAAACGTGCAGGAAAAATAAAAAAGTGAAGCAACGCACGCACGAACAGCATGTACTGCTAAAAAGTGGAGCTGGACCAGCTGGAGCCATAGTGCTGCTGATGCCAGCCAAGCTCTGTCTGGGGGGATCACTGCTGCTACAGCCCTGGGAGTCCCCCAGGACCCCAGGTAAGGCTGCTGGGGCCAGCACAGTTCTGGCCCCAGCCTCCCCTACCCCACCTGGGGTAACATGTCATTTATGGGTATGGGCATTTCCCAGAGGCAAGTACCTGAGGCATAAGGTGTGCCGCTGCTACTTGTCCTCTGGGAACCAAATGCCCATGCTCATCTGGATGTGGCCTCTGGGTTTATCTTATGAATCATGTGTAGGGGTTTGCACATCTAACAGTGAGTCTCACCCTGGCTAAGGATCACTACATTAGTAGATAAGAGAATTTTTCACACCTGTTGACTTATTTGCTTCTCTGCTGAGGCTCCCAGCAAGGCTGATAATTATTGGCACTGTAATAAGCCTTTCTTTTCTGGTGAAAATATCTTTACATTTAGAGGTAGACTGTGACCGTTACCACCTGACTACTCTTACTATGGTAGTACAACTCTAATGTAGTCTGGTCAGAGCTTATAAATTGATGATCTAGAAGTGAATAGTTCCCTATAACTTTATTAATGTTTGCTGGGCAGTATAAGGATTTGATTTTGTATGAAGACACTGCTTTTTTCCAAGAAAGTACATTTAAACCTCCTTACCAGAATAGGTAGGTTTCACTAGTTGTACATAGGTGCCAAGTGGTGCTTTAACATATATAGTATAATACATTATGGAAATGATCTGGTATAGAAGAGTTTTCAGACCTTCACTTATCTTTCACCAGCCTTTAAACATAATGAATTCAAAAAGGAAAAATTGCTTATAACAAGTAGGTAAATAGAAGCAATGAAGAGTTTGGCTCAGTTCCTTCCCTTTGTATTGCAAAATGTTTAGTGTGTGTGTCAGTGATGTGACTGGTTATGCCTCTAAGTCAACAGAAGAAGCTAAAGAAGGAATATATGGGTGATCTATACTCCTCCTCCCAATCACAGACATGTCTCTGATCCTTGCACAGTTCTGTGCGCTGGTCACATTGAAAGGACCAGGAGTTATTTATTTTTCATGGTCAGTATGTGCAAATGTTGTTTCTCAGTTATTCAGCCATATTAACCTTAAGTCAAGAAAAAGTTAGGACAGGGTAGCACCTTAGGCTCCTGGCAGATATTATATTTGTTGCATGTTATATGCGAGTATTGCATGACAGACTGTAACATGCCAGGCATTAAACCAATTTATCCCTGGATAAAAATGGTAGATCAGCCATAAAAGTTGTTCATTGAAACTGCATCTTCTTTGTGGTGCAAAAGTATCCTGTGATGACTTTTAATTTGTGGCCAGTTGGCGTGTTACAATTTTTCATGTGATACTTGCATACAACATGCAACAAATGTCATGTCTGCCAGGGACCTTAAACTGGTTCAGAGATGCACAAGCTTTTGTCAGCTACAACCTACTTTGTCAGGTGTTAGCATCTGATGAAGCAGGTCGTTGCCTATAAAAATGGAAGCACCTCAAAGTTGCTTCTCTGCCCTATCTTTTGCCTGTTTCTG